CTATTCTCTAGGAGGTTGGGGCTCTTCTCTAACAAAGGGTGCCATGACACAGGCACACACACACACACTACAAAATGAAAATAAACATGTACTAGAAAGATGTTTCCTTACTTGAGAAATGCAGATAAATGTCAAAGCTATTGGAAACCAGAAAACCAAGTAATTTTGAGTATTTAAAATCAGTCCTGTATTGTGATACGCCAAGACCAAACTTGAATGTTATTCCACATAGGAATCTAACCAACAGAATGTAGTTCAGATTTGGGGAATGATGGTGAGGAAACTATATTTTATGGAATTGCTAACACATTTAAAACTGTAGTTGGTAAGAAAAAGTGTGTTCTGGGCTGGGAGTGGCAGCTCACGCCTGTAATCCCAGCACTTTCGGAGGCCGAGGTGGGCAGATCACCTGAGGTCAGGAGTTCAAGACCAGGCTGACCAATGCGGCAAAACCCCATCTCTACTAAAAATACAAAAATTTAGCCAGGTGTGGTGGTGCATGCCTGTAGTCCCAACTACTTGGGAGGCTGAGGCAGGAGAATTGCCTGAACCCGGGAGGCGGAGGTTTTCTGTGAGCCAAGATCGCATCACTGCACTCCAGCCTGAGCAACAGACCAAGACTCCATCTCAAAAAAAAAACAAAAGTGTTCTTTTACTTTTTACAATAAATCCTGCTTGAGAAGTTATGATCCTTGTGTAAAAACATCTGTAGCAAGTAGTCTCTCATTTGTGCAGTGATGACTGTGGGCATTTATGTTTTTAGATTAAATCCTGTATTTGAGTAAAGATGTTAACAATACTTTCATGGACTTTTATGGTTAATTTCAGTATGTAAATTAGCATGTAGTTCATTTATAATTTTAGAAACTAGTAAACTAAAAAAAAATTTCACTCAAATTATCACTTCCTTTGTAACACCTATCCTGACCCCTGCCTTCCTTCCTTGTAGAGATAACTATTTCATCCTCTGTACCCTCAGGGCTGACACTCTATTCAGGTTGTTGCATCCACCTTAACACTTGCTATCTTCATGTGGAGACAGTGAACTCCCCCAAGGGCAGGGACCAGGACTCAGCCGCCTCCCCAGCTCAATTCCTGGCTGAAAGCAAATGCTCAACTAGTGTTGTTGGTTAAAAGGAACACATGCCCAACCTCACTAGTCTGTAAAGAAAAGCAACCGTGAGATGCCGCCTTTCCAACTTCTAAACTAACAAAGATTAGTTATAAAGAGGAAGTTCTGGGAGGAGTCCAGAAAGCTACATTCTGGTCCAACCTTTCCAAAGGTCAATTTGGCAATTTCCCCAAGTGTCATACTAATGTTATGTAACCCCAAATTCAGGCTCATGTACCTGATGCAAAGCTGAAGCCAAACACTAAGACACAGGTGCTTGGAGATAGAGAAAGGATTGTTCAATTGGGCCAAAGCAAGAAGGCAGAAGAGAGAGATCTCTCAACTGTAGCTTAACAAAAGAGATGACAGCAGGCGTTTTTATGGGGTAGGGTGTAAAGGAGGGAGAGTTGCCAGGAAGATAGGGGAAAAGTCTGTGCCTCTACAGTCTCAGATAAAACTTTGAGCAACCAGACTTATAGGTGCCAGCAGCTGGTCGAAAAGTCCTTAATGGCATTCATTCCTTCTGCAAAATATTTTCATGATCCTGAAAGTTATCTCTCCTGCTAGACAAAGAAACAGGACATCAGCAGTTTATAATTATATTGTGGGAACAAGAGATATTGGGCAAAACGCGAGCGCTTACTATGTGCATGCAAGCAAGGGCCTGATCAGAATTTTCACTATGGCCGGGTGCGGTGGCTCACGTCTGGATTTCCAGCACTTTGGGAGGCCGAGGCCCGCAGATCATTTTGAGGTCAGGAGTTGGAGACCAGTCTGGCCAACATGGTGAAACCCCGACTCTACTAAAAATACAAAAATTAGCCAGTCGTGGTCGTGCATGCCTGTAATCCTAGCTACTTGGGAGGTTGAGCCAAGAGAATCACTTGAACTTGGAAGGTGGAGGTTGCAGTAAGCCGAGATCATACCACTGCACTCCATTCTGGGTGGCAGAGCGAGACTTGGCCTCAAAAAACAAAGCAAAACAGAAAAAAACAACAACAACAACAACAAAAACACCAAACGGAATTTTCAATACCTCAGTTACTAAAAATGCCAGAGAAAAATGCCAGAGTACTTAAATCTCAAGGAGCCTGGTTACACTCCGAATGGGGAGACGTAGGCCAGAGGCACTGGAAAGGTGAGCAGTGCTTTGGCTGGAAACCCGTCAGCCTCTGACAGAGAACTGGCATAATCTACCTCGCGATCTGCAAGGAAACACACGGGCCGGCAGAGGGCAAATCGCGCACGCCGCCTGCACCGGGCTCCGGCCTCCGGCCTCCTCCGCATTCCACAGTTGTTGCACTTTTCCCACTTTTATAACCGAGAGAGGAAGTACGCGCTGCTCGAAAACGCGAAACGCGCATGGGACCCTAGGACCGACTCGCGCGCCCTCGACGGCTTGAAACCGGGTTCCAGACACTCGTTCGCGCCCTAGGGCTCCCGTCGCCCAGGTCCGGGTGCTCACTCTCTCCACGGCGCAAGACCGCGAGGTGGCGAAGCACCTACTTGGCTGCGCGCGACGTGGCGGGGATGCTGCAGTCCCGCGCGCCCCACCCGCTCTGGGCGTGTCAGGGTAGGCGGTGTTCAGAAGTAGAGCCCCGCCCAGCCACCGCCTTCGGGTCCTGAGAAGACTCTCCTCCCGGCCTCCCTGTTTCAGCTGTTGACCTGCGAGAGAGCTACACCGCTCGCCACGTGCGGTCCCCTCAGGGTAGTGGGCCTCATAGGGCTCCGCCGCCAGGTCTGGGCCAAGTTTCTTCCAGAGACTTCACTACCGACATGGGGTGTATGAAGGACGGTCCAGAGAACATTTCCCGACCTGCCTGTTTGTCTGACCTGAATGTGAGGTCCTTGAGCGCCCTTGAGCCGTGGCCTTGGGCCTGCCAAGATTGAGGCAGGCGTGGTCACCGAATACTTCTGGTGTGGGGAAGCGGGCACAATTTACACTGTCCCTGCCACAGGAGCTTCCACTTTTGCCAGGGAAACTAACCTGGAGGTGGGAGCTCCTTTTATTTGTTGGCCTTTTATTATACCCAGGGGAAAATAGTTTGCCAAATTTGGAGGGTGTGTTAAAAATGATCTGTCTTAATCATCCTGAAAAATCTAAAAATTTGGCTGGGCATGGTTGCTCATGCCTGTAATCCCAGTACTTTGGGAGGCCAAAGTGGGCCGATCACTTGAGGTCAGGCGTTCAAGACCAGCCTGGCCAGCATGGTGAAGCGCTGTCTCTACTAAAAATACAAAAATTAGCCAGGTGTGGTGGTGCACTCCTGTAATCCTAGCTACTCGGGAGCCTG